CCCCCCCGCCAAAAAAAAAGGGTTTCCAGCCCTCCAACTAAGAGAAAAGCAGATTCCTCAGCAGAATGTAATGTTTGATTACCACAGGGAGATCACAGGTCTTTTATGTGCTGCACATATAATAAGGGTTTGGGAAAATAAATGGGGAAGGGCTTATGTGGTTGTGTTCACTTGGTCAGTATATCTTTTCAAGGAAATGTGATCCAGGTGCTTTTGCTCCCAATGAAAAGCCAGAAACTGTCTGCCGGTAGAAAGGATAGCATCTACGTTACCATTAGTATTTTCATGGTTCCATCTTTGAAGCAGTTATTGCCCAGTCCTTCCACACTCCAGTGACCCCGTAGATAAGGGTAAGGCATGTCACATCTGGTCTCCAGTGCCAGACCAGGCCCAGAGCTATGTTAGGTGAGAGATCTTGGTACTTGATGGCTGCTCTGGTTTGGTATCTTGTGTCCAGGGAGTTAGTGATTCCCAGTCCCGTTCTTAGTATGCAAGTGTCCACATCACAAAAGTCTTTGCTGTGATGGGAACTCATGGACAGTCTCTTTCACAGATCAAATCCCTGAAAATTGACCTTGTGCCAGCCATAAAAGGGGTGCCTTCATGTGTGTGGAGGTAAACCGGCAGGACTCTGTTCTGTTCTGAGAAGCTGCTTGTGCTGTAGCTGGGCTCTATTCTGACGGCTCTAAAGATCCCCCAGTACTACACTGACTCTTGGGTTATTTTAAGTCTGCCTCACTGTAATTGGGGAAAATGTTCTTGTGTCAGCAGGCAGAATCAGAACAGGAAGTGACACACGCAGCTACTGTACCTCTCCAGTCAGTGTTGCTTTAGCCCTTGCCAAGGAACACATCTTGAATGGGATCTGAATGTTGTATGTTTGGTACAGAGATCTTGACCTGGAGCTGTAGTGTGGAAGCAGGCAAAAGCAAATGAGGATCATCTGCCAGGGGCAGGTTATCAGGGATAACCTTATTTTGAGAGTGGCCATGGATACCTACATTTTTGTCTCTGCTGCAGTGAGATACTGAAAGGATGGACAGCGACCATGGAGGCTGCATTTGGAGTGCGTTCACTTAATAATAATAATAATAATAATAATAAAAAAAAGGGGGATCCACTACAAAAAGCTTTTCATAGAAAAGTAGGGCTGTAAGGCACTTCTAGTCCAACCCTCCCATTTGAAGCAGGATCATCCCTATCGAAACAATCCTATACAAGTCCTTGTCTAACCTATTTCTAAAATTATACAATCAACCTTGTTGTAGAACTACAAAATGTTGCCCAGAGACACCAAAAGCACCCTAACCTGGCACAGGTAAAGCAGGGTGGTCAGTGCCCTTCTGCAAGGGTTGTTAAAATGCACTCAAGAGATCCAAGGTAGAAGGCCATGGTTCCCTGCTACCGTGGAAGGTGAAAACCCCCGCAGTCCATGCAGATCTGACCACAGAGTGAAACTCTTTTCTGATTCCAAATATGGCAATTGGTCTGACCCCGAGCAGAGGGGTAAGGCCCTCCAACCTGGGTTTAGCCGTTTTTTGTACTAAAACATCTGGGCTTTAGTCCAGCAGGAGCATTGGCACACCCCAGTCAAAATAGCAAGCCTTAGCTGCAGCCAACATCTGAGGAAGCCGGGGACCCCCCCTCCCCACCACCTGTAGCAATAGGAGTGGGGGAAAATCCTTCTCTACTCCAAGTGCCAACCAGCAAAGCCCAGAAGCATGGGCTTTGCTGGGTGCCACTCAGGGCAAAGAAGGATTTCTTACCTCCCATCCCCCCCTTCTTTGCCCTGCAGCTGGGTATTAGCTGCAGCCAAGGCTTGAGGTTCTGACTGGGGTGTGCCAACAGTCCATTCTGCTCTGCAACCTGGGGACAGCAAGCATAACTCCACACATTGTACCTTGTTACAGAATAGTCAGAACTCCCCTTTCTGTATTCCCTCCATATAACTTATCCCAGGTCCCTCTACTTTTCATGCATAACTAAGCCATTTATGGCACTCCACTTCATTCTGCTGCTGCTGAGCACGGTCATGTCTAGTATCCACCTGCTTTAGGCAGCAGAGCTCTTGTTATCTCCCAGGAATCCGTCTGCTGCTCATTACAGAGCGCTCCGGACATAGTACTCCTAGATCATCCCTGACCAATACCTTTCCACTTCTTGAAAATCTTCAACGGTGGAGATTCCACAACTTCCCTTAGTAGTCTGTTTCCCTGCCTCACTGTTCCCCTGGCTCACTGTTCCAACAGTGAAGAAGATTTTCCTGATATCCAAGGGGTGTGTAGATGAAGCAGGGGCCCTAAATTGAAGTGGTGGGTTTTAAAAGCACCGCTTCAATTTAGAGCCCTTTAAACCCCTGGGTCATGCACATACCTGACTTACCCGCTTCTCTGGTGGCAGGGAGAGGAGGGCGAGCTGCCAGCGGGCAGAGTAGTCCCTGGGCTGTAGCGGGGGAGGGTGGAGGGCTGGTGCTTCTCTCCGCGGCACATACCTGCAGGCACCTGGCTCAGGTGGTCTCGGGGGGCACTGCAGCCATGGAGGAAAGCATGGGGCCCCTGCACAGCTCAGGCAGGCAGGCTCCATGGGGGCTTGGAAATCATGCTTGCCACTTTTCTTGGGTAGAGCCTGCCTTCCCAGGCAACTGCCAGGCTGCCTGCAGGGCTTCCTGCAGAGCCGCGGAGGTGCGTGGAGCCCGGTGCTTCGCTACACAGCTGTAGGGGCAGCAAACTAAAACTCTTCAAAGGAGCTGCGCCCCAAGTCATTTAAGGCACGTTTGCACGCCTCGGCAGCGTAACACCACTAAAGCGGTGCAAAAGCATTTAGCCTGCTTTAAATTGTTGTGCGCACACACCCCTCGTTTTGTCTGCACATGTTCCAATTTAAACTTACTTTCTGCAGCTTCAAGCTATTAGTATGTATCCTGCTCTCTGCAGCAAGGGAGAAGGTATTTTCTCTCTTCTTTATGGCAGCACTTCAGATATTGGAAGACTGCTATCATGTCCTCTCTTAATCACCTTTTCTGCAAGCTGAATATGCCAGTCTCTCTCAACATCTCCATGTGTGACCTGCCCTTCAAGACCTTTGTCATTTTTTTTTAATTTCTTTTTTTGCCACCTGCTTCTGGACCTATTCCAACTTCTCCATGTCCTTTTTAAAGTGTGGAGCCCAAAACTACACAATACTGTAGATGAGGCCTTAAAATGTGGAGGCCAAAACTACACATAGTACTCTAGATGAGGCCTAACCAGCACCAAGTGGGGAGGCACCATCACCTCCTGACCATATCTACATGAGATGCTGACTATGCAGTATGACTATACTGACTAATATACACAACTACTAAATGAGTGCAATAACCAGCATTACGGCACAGTAGCATCCCTGAGATGCTGACTGCATAGTAGCTTGTTGCTACTGCGCAGTAGCGTTGTGTCACACTTCATGCCACAAGACTACTGTGCTGTCAGTGTCTCATGTAGATGTGGCCCCTGTGTCTTGCAGTTAATGCTCCTATTGATGCAGCTTAAAACCACATTTGTATTTTTGTGCAACTGCATCACACTACAGACTTATATGAATCTTTGATCTACCAGAACTCCTAGGGCACCTATGCACATGTCTGATGCGTGTTAATTAGTACACTGTAGCAGCCGCAGTGTCCCCTGTAGGGGGGATCAGTAGGGGGTACTTCTGCACTAAGCCACCCACCTCACCGTGCCCGACCATTTACCAAGCTCTGAGCGCCTCCCCTGGGGCACCTCACGTCCAGTTGACCCCCTTCCTGGAGCCTGCCTGCAAACCTGGCGTAACCACTGCCACTACCAAGGGGTCTGGACCGTTTCTGGGCCCTGTGCCCTCTGGGATACACAGGCCTTGTAGTCCTCGAGGGTGCTTGACCCACTGTGAGAACTTGGGGTGCTTCCTTTAGCTTGGAGTACAAAAAGTAGCCTCGCTTAGTCAGCCGAGCATAGGGAGCATCCAGACAGGCCCAGTCCCTCTCCCCACAAGTTCACCATGCATTTCATAGTGGAGAACTTTATTAGTTAAAGAGGGTAGGCTTGGGAAAGGGTACAGGATAGGGAGCTATCACAGAACAACCTTAGAGCAAACAATATTGGCATAGTAGCTGGTTAATATGCTTCTACATTACAGTAACCTATATATCTAGATAAGTTTCAGGCAGTTTACTCACTTCAGCATCTTGAGTGAGAGCTGCAAATGTTCCAGTTGCTGTGTGCCCCTTAACATGGCTGCTCTCCCTCCCCCTGGGCAGTCTTAGGTTTATATAGACCTTTTGACATCACCCCTGAGACCCAACTATGGCCTTGTGTTGTGGGGTGCCAACCAATCCATTTAAAAAGCATCACTGCTCACCTGCAAGAGTGACAGGAGCTTGAGCCCCTGCCCCATGCGATGAGGTTAGTACTAACACAGTAGAGAGCTAGGTCCACCCCTCTCACCTGGCAAAAGTAATGTAGGCAAATATTTGGTTGACAGACAGGTGAGAAATCAATGGACAAGGAAAAACCTAATAGAAGAGTCTGGGATGGCATTCTTCCACATCCCCATACTTCAAAATGGCAGCAAGGGTGCTTTAACTACAGCTCGTTCAACAAACTTTAGTTAAAGGGCCTGCATTGCCATTTTGAAGTGCAGGACGCTAAATGCATGAGATGCTGCAATGCTTTAATTAGAGCAGCTCCCAAGAGACGCTTTAATTAAAGCACCCCTCACCCTGGAGCAAATGTAAAGATGCCCCTAGATACTTCTCCATTGTGCTGCCATCCAGCCAGTAGTCACCCATCTCATAGTTGTGGGGTTTGTTGAGGTTTTTTGACTATTCTTCCCAAGGTATAGCATCTGGCATCTGTCA